CGTGGCCCTGCGCCGTTGTCTTTGCGGGTTTGGCAGCCGAGTCACCGGTGCGGCGCGCCGGGGATACTAGGCGCTGCGTTGGGCTGGGGGTCCTGCCTGCGATGGGGGCGGGGGGGTTGTCGGGCCGGGGGGCGGAGGGAACGCGAAAGCTTGCCCCCTCTTTTCCTGTTCCGGCCATCTTGTGACCGAGATCCGACCAAAGGGGTAAGGGAGGCTAACAGCACCGCGCCCCTGCTAGGCTGGTGGCGGCCAATAGAGATGGGCACTTCGGGCCCGTGCGCCTTCTTGCCCCGACCGCGGAGGAGGCTCGCGGCAGCCCTCACGCTCAGCATCGAGGCTTTTGGCGGAGAGCATGGGTTAATACAGGCCAGAGGCAGAGAAAATAGCAGGGGTGAGAGGCCCTGAACTCAGCGTCGTTTATTCACGCTTCCATCCATTCGGCCAATTCTGAACGCCCTCTCCGTGTCGGTCGCGTGCTAGGTGCTGGGGACATATCGGTGAGCAAGAGACACCAGGGCCCTTGTTCCCGCTGACCCTGCAGCCCAGTGGATGGAGCCTAGAGTTCACAGACCTGCCAGGTCGGTATCCTGATGCCCTTAAACAGATGGGGAAACTGAGGCCTGGGGCTGACAGAATTCGTTTAGGTCAGGCGCCAAGTAAATGGAAGAATCACGAATCACGGCTTTGAACCTACCGAAGGCTTGAGGACTTGCATGCTAGCCTGCAGGAATCGTTCATTGTTCTTTTTAAAGGCCCATTAGAAAATTATTTGCATGTACAGTTTTTATGAAGCCTTACGAAGTGCATGTTTTATTTCATGGATTCTTTCTCATGCATTTAATTTTAGTTCTCACGATACATGGAAAGTTACTGAAAACACTCAGTATTACAACTTTGCTTCCAGTCACTCTGAATTGTATTTTCCTTTCTTCTGTTCACATATTTGGCTGTTAGGAAAGAAAAAAAATTTCCTGATGGTTGGTCCAAGCAGGGACTCCCTGGTGGATTGAGGAATGTCTGGCTTTTCCTCAGCTCATTGATCTCTGTGGCAACCACTGGTGACCCCCAAAAGACCCAAGAATGAAAGGCCCGAGGTCTATAAATTGCTGCTAGAAATATTTCAGTCTCTCTACAAAATAGAATGCAGCCCGCACACACATCCCTAAGGTAAATACCGCGGCCCTGTGAAACTTGATGGCATAGCTGGTGGTTAAAGTTCCCCTCCATGTTTTCCCCTTCAGCATTTTGAAGATGTATCCTTTTGGAAAGACAAACTATTACATATTTGCGGAAGTCTTTTGGTTTGTACATCTTTCAGAATTAGACTGTCAACCCGTGGAAGAAGATAGACCGCTTTTAAAAAATGTTTTGAATGTAAATAATGTAAAAAGCCTGCCATCCAATGTGATTACTACTTTATTTTTTGAAACAATTTTATTGAGGTGTAATATGTAAAATGCACCCTAATTTTAAGAATATGATTCGAGTTTTGATAGCAATTGGCAGAACTGGGTAATCAACACCACCGTCCACATTTCTGTTACCTGTTTGCAGCCAGCCCACCACCTCCATTGAATTTTATATGGTTTCACTGCTTAGTGAATTTTTTTAATTGTGTGTAAAAAATAAGAATGAATAGATACTAAGTATGTCAAAACATAAGAATAGGACAGGAATAAATAAACAGAGGATGGCAGCTGTGACCGAAAATTCTCTTGAATGTGGTCCCCACACCTACTTTATAGAGACAGACATGGAATGTCCCAAAGTCCAGGCAAAGAGGGTAGTGCCGCGGGGCGCCAGCCAAGCGTGCCCGTACCGGGTGGACCGGGGTTTGCCCCCTGGGTCCCCCTCCACTATGCCTTCTCTGGTCCCGCAGGGCCCTGGGCGCACACTGACCGCGCGCTGGCGGACACGCCCGTTGCTCCCGGCTGGGCGACGGGA